CAAGTGTCTTTGTCGCTCACAATGTCTCCCGGAACACCGTGGCAGGTAATCCAGCCGGTGTGTAATCTCGGGGGCTGTAGCACGGTACTTGCATGGAAGAAAACGAGCGTACTTGCTCAAACGGTCATCAATCGTGAGGATGCCGTCATGACCGAGGCGATCGCGGGGGAACGGGCCTGTAACATCCATAGCCATGAAGAGGCACGGCGCCCGAGGAATTGACATCGATTTCAGTTCGCCATAAGGGACCTGAGATCTACCTTTGTTACGATGGCAAACTGCGCATGACTCAATGTACCTCGTGACGTCGTGAAGAGCGTCGGGCCAGTGAAAACACTGGCGGAGGAGGGCCAATGTGCGGGTCACGCCAAGGTCGTGGAATTCGCCGAGGAGGCGAGTCCGTAAGATGCGATCTTGGGGCACCACTAACAAGTCCTTTCCTTTCGTGTGGAGGCGTAGGAACCCATCCGAGATACGATAGTGACCAGCCAGAGGGTGAACCGACAAAAGCTCTGCATATGGCGTGGAGCATGTCGGGTCGGACTTGTAGCCGTTGACGAAGTGCTGCTGCAGATCATCGTCGAGCTGAAACGTCGTACTCACTAGGGGACAAAAATCGGCCCGTCATGAGAGGGCATCCGCTGCTCGATTGCCGGGACCGGGGAATGTGGCATGGGTCAAAGTCCAATTGGTCGATGTAGTACATCCACCGACCGATCGTGCTAGTGACTGTGTCCTGTGTTTTGTAGTAGGTCAACGGATTATTGTCTGTGTTCCATTTAAAACGCCGGCGACCGAGAAGAAAGTGGCGCCACCGTTTGAGAACGGTGACGAACACGAGTAACTCTTTCTTCCTAGCGTCGTCAGAGTGTTGACGAGAGGAACCTTTTGGGAAAAGTACTTGACCGGGTGCCAACCGTCCGGGTGGCATTGTTCTAATACCACACCAATACCGTACCCGGAAGCGTCCGTAGTCACTTGGGTGGGTAGGGTGGGGTCATAAATACGGGGGGTCGGCACGGCTTGCATCGCCGCCTTGAACATATTGAACGCGCCACGAGCTGTGTCCTCGAGCTCGAATGGTACCTTCGGGGACTGAAGTCTCGACAAAGGTGCTGCCACTTTGGAGTACAACTCGACGAAACGCTGATAGTATCCAACCAAACCCATGAACCAGCGTACGTTTGTTGTGCAACGGGGTTCCGGCCAATCCACGATGGCTTGGATCTTGTTCGCTAAGGGACGAATGCCTTTCGCCGTCACATAATGTCCTAGGTACTCAAGCTCTTGCTTGGCAAACTCGCACTTGTTGCAATTTGCTTTGTACTTGGCTGCTCGCAAAGGATCCAAAACCGCACAAAGGTGTACGAGGTGCTCGTCCAGCGTCCGACTATAGACCAAGATATCATTGAGGTAGACGAGGACGGTACGATCGAGCAAGTCTCGGAATTCCGTTGTCATGGCTACTTGGAAGGTTGTCTGGGCATTGGTGAATCCAAATGGCATCACAACCTACTCAAAATGCCCATACCGCATTTTGAAGGCGGTCTTGTACCGGTCTTGAGACTAGATTTCAATCTGGTGGTAACCCGACTTCAAGTCCAACTTCGAGAGGTACGTCGCACCGCCCAACCGCTCAAGGAGATCATCAATCCGAGGGAGAGGGCCGGCATTCTTTACGGTTTGTGCGTTAAGTTTTCTATAGTCGATGCACAACCGTAGGTCCTTGTTCCTCTTTCGGACGAAGAGAGTCGGTGCACCGTATGGCGAACAAGTAGGGTGAATCCAACCTTTGTCGAGAAGGTCGTCGAGTTGTGCACGAAGCACCTCAAGTTTCTCTTCGCTCATGCGGTACATACATCCACGCAGAGGGACAGTACCCACCTCGAGAGTAATCTTGTGACGTATGGGCCTATCCGGAACCGTTCCGGTGGGAGCCTCGAAAACGTCTCCATATCCGTCCAGAAGGTGAGTAATACGTGGGGTCGGTGACGACGCGGCTGGTCCATCCGTCGAGGGGAGGGCATGTAGGAAAACAACGCCCATCTTCGCTACGTCATTCCGAGCCATAGCGTCGCGAATCCTCGCGACGGAAACCACGTGACAAGCAATCGAAGTGTGAGGAGTTGCGACCGTACACGGGACTAACACTCCTTTCCGATTACGGACGTGAACGGTTCGGTCATGAAAGTTTGTCGGATGGTCGACGCTACGCAACCAAGGCATGCCTAGAATCATGTCGAACTTTGTGTCGAGGATGTCGAAACACACCAGCTCGCACGCAAGGGGCGCAAAGTACACCGGAACGCCGTCAACACACCGGTCAATTGACTTTTCCGTGCGGCCATCCGCAAGTGTGACTTGTGTAGGTTGCGCCTTCCTTCGAACGCGGGAGCCGAGACCTGCGCGTGCCATAAAGGCTTGGCTCATAAAGTTGCGAGATGCTCCGCAATCAATCAAGGCACTGCAGGTGGCCTTTCCGATTTGAATGCGGATATAGAGCAAAGGAGCGTTGGTCTCGACGTACCTTTGGGTGGCATACTCGCGGTCAATCTTCGCAAGATAGGAGCGGAGATCGACAACCGCTACTCCGTCGTCCGTCAATAGAGCTGGTACTGCAACTTGCAAGTAGGAGCGTAGATTTGCCATCAAGGCATTACAATGCGGCTTTGACAAGGATCCGGTCGAGGGTACAGGCATCCAAAAGAAGTCCTCTCTCGTGAATGGGTCGAGGTCCTCAAGCCTTGACCACGCCGTCCAGTCCTCGAAAACAAGTGGTGAACTAACCGGTTCTCTTGCCGACGGTGTACAAGCTACGCATACGCTATCTAAGTTCACGTGGCTAGGCTGGTGCAATGGTGGCACCAGCTGGGCGGCATAATCCTTGAATGTGTCACGAGAATCAGCGACTAACGCATGCTCGCTGACAATGATATCGGTTGTTAGCAAGGCAACCGGTTCCGGCGGAGTGTGAAGAGGCGTCGCCCCTCTCCGTGCGCAACTCAGTTTCCCGAGTTAGCTGGATGAGGTACCTTTGCCTTGCCCTTGTCCGGGCATTGTGCAGTAGTGTGGTTTACACTGTTGCACCAAAAAGAATACGCATACCGTTTTCGAAGTTCAAAAACTTCCTTGATGTTGTATGGTTTCCATGGTTGCTGCCCAGTCTCCGTTGCTGTCATCCCTTGTGTCGCCTTGTTCTTCCGAACCCTTTTTAAACGCTTTGACGGGAGCGCTGTGACAACTCCTCCATCACTCGAGGAGGCTGCTGCAGCGTGGAGATCAGGCGATCCGTCAGCGATCACCGAATTGTTATGCGCCGGCCTTTGGTAGGCTTGCTTAGCCACATATTGCGGCTGGGACTGCCTTTTGTTGGCGGCCTTGTCATCCGTTTGGATGACCAGGTTAGCACGGTCAAGGATGGCCTTGAACGAGGCATAGTCGTACTCGTTACCGAGTGCTGACCGCAGTCCTCCGCGCGATCACGAAAAGAATTCGGATCGCAGGTTTATGAAACTTAAGTCGGAACCAGGAGTGGTTACTATCTTCTGCCACTCGATCGTCCAGTCTCGTGTTGTCATGTTCCCTTCATGGCTGTCTTCACTACGTTTCGGACCATGAATCGAGTGTGCCACATTTGCTCGAGCTGCTCCCACATGATGTGTTTGTGCAGGTCGGCGATGGTGGTTCCCAGCTTGGCCACCGTGTGGTTCATGAAATGTTTGTGCTCCTCCAATGAGTTGGCGGTTGAGTGTTGTCATCATCAGGTCGTCTGGTACGTGGTGGCAGGCAGCTTCCGTGACGAAGGTTTGCCACCATGCTAATGCATCCGTTTTGTTGTAGTCGTCGAACTTGGCGATGCTGAAGCGTGGCATCTTGAATATCTTCGCAGCGGCTTCCGGTCGTGACTGCAGTTTGGTGATGTCCGTCTTGATGGCGGCCACCGTGCTGCTGATTGTGGCCGGACTGGTGAAGTCACCCAGGTCGCCGATGATGGTGACGACATGGTCGATGCGCTCTCCGAGCTGCTTCGCTATGTCCGTCGTGCAGCCTGGCGCTGCTGAGGGCTTAGCCTCGATGCTGTTCAGGCATGTGATAGTGGATGCCAACAGCTGTTGCTGTTGTTGCTGATGTTGTGCTGCTGCGCGGATGGCAGCTATCAAAGTTGCAGATTCTCTCTGCTGAGTCTGTCTCAGCTGCCGTCCAGTTTGCGCGTGCGCAATCTGCATCGTATTGTTCCACATTACCGCCCTCATCATACACAGCATCACGTTAGCCAGGTTACTCCTTTCCGCCTCCGCCGGTGTCAGATCCGCCTGCTCGTCCGTAGGCACAAAGATCATGCCTTCCACTGACTCTCATTCTGAATCAAGGACTCAGTGCTGGCGGCATTCTGCTTGTCTCGAGCCGTTGCATCAGCTTCAGCAGTCCACTGAGCTTGGGTTGCCGCCTCTTTGGCAAACCGCTGACGTTCTGCTTCTGCTGCCCCTTGCTGTGCCTTTGCTGTGGCTACGGCATCCGTGAATGCCTGCACCCACTGAAGGTAAGCTGCCAAAGTCTCGTGGTCCCCTTGGGCCGGACAGGTGGGAAGGACCCCTGTGGTGGCCGGTACTGCAGCTACTGCATTGGTACTGGATGCCGCTGGAGCCGTTCGCCTGCTGCGTCATTGTTGCTGATACTTAGGTCGTGGAGGTACCACAGTGTGGCTGCGAACTGCGAGCCTGGCACTGCGTCGTGGCAGTGCCCCGGTGTCCTGTTCCGTCGACATCGGCACCGCTGATGTGGTACTTGGAGACCTCGGTGGTCACAGAGTACTGGTCCCCAGGCCGCCCGGCGGCCTGGCCGTCGCCCGAGGAGGGGGCCGGGCCGTCTGGCCAGTTGTCGCGCCCGGTTGGCCACCGGGCGCCCCCAGCGCATCACTGTAGGTTAGGTTTTTTTTTTTTTACGACGCCGGGGCCCTTTTTGCCCCCTACATAAACCGTGTGGACCGTGAAAAAAAAAAAACGCGGCCGGTAGGCCCGATTTCACCGATTTGAAATCGGGCACCATCTGGATCGTCGATCTCAAAGATCGACGGCCCAGATTGCCCCGATTTCAAATGGGTGAGGGCGGGAACTACCGGCCCCCGTTCCCTCCCCCGTGCTGAAAACCGACGTCCCCCCTTCCCTGCCTTGCAGCAAGTGTGTCCGCCGGCGCAACTTCAACGCGCTTCTTCGACGCACCCCGCCGGCACCCACCAACGTCCGCCATCGCGCGTGACCTTGCCATCGCCCGCCAACGGCCGCCTTCAACAAGGTAAGGGACTTAGTTGGAGAGAGAGAGAGAGAGAGAACTTCTTCTTCTTCTTCTTCTTCTTCTTCGCTTTTTCTTCTTCTTCTTCTTCTTCTCCGATTTTGCTCACCCTATCTATGGAAGTGCTCTCTCTCTCTCTCTCTCTCTCTCTCTCTCTCTCTCTCT